TGCATATATATAAATAGAATTTCTCGTAGAACCGATCATATATATATCATCGAATTTCTCGTACGACCATTCACGCATGCACGTATATATATACAAGATGGTATATACAATTTCTCCTATATTTTGCAGATCATTACATGGAGGCATTACTTCGGTAGCGGGTAATGAAATTCTCCTTTGGAATCGATGACCTGGTCGAGCAAAAATCCCGCTATTTCCTCTTGAATCGCTCTTACGCGATTCGTTGGTAGGAGTTTATCCCGCATGGCCTTCATCTTTAAAGAAGGAGATCAATATGCATGTATTAGTTGTGTGTGTATATATTAGATAATGATGAAAAAATTGTGAATAGTGTTCTGGCAAACGTACCCATTGCTCTCTATCACTTCTGCTCCTTTCGTTAGTCATCATGCGAATGTTTTCGCAAACGCGGTATACACATAAATCAATCTCCGGCGTCTGCTTCAGGGTCTTTAATTGAATAGAATTCAATCAAATGATAATTAATCAAGCATGCTAATGGTATGTATTGAAACTAGAATTAAAGAGATGGTAGCTAGCTAGCTAGTACTAGGGCTGCAAACGAGTCGAGCTCGAGCGAGTTGGAGTTGGCTCAGCTCAACTCATATGAAAATTCAAGCGAGCTCAAACTAAGTGAAGCTCGTGATCGAGCTGTAGAACATGACTCGTGCTTAGTTCGTAACGATGTCGAGTCGATCTCGAGCTAGTTTCGAGCTAAATGAGGTGGTAAAAATTATAAATCTATGGATGAAAAACAAAAAAAATAAGGTGAATATGCTGGAACCTTTGGCAAAAATATAGGATATTTAACACATAATTGACCAAGTGCCATAATTAGGTCTAAATCTTCTCTGCACTTAATTAAGTTTCCATGTTCGTTGGTAAATAAAATGGAGAAAAATTATGAACAACATATATGGTAATAAATTATCTTATTTTCATTTAATATATGGCATTGTTCATTTAACATAATGATATTCTGTCGAGTTATCGAGCTAAAATCGAGCAAGCCAACATTGGCTCAAGATCGGCTCGTTTCTCGGTCGAGCTACATAAAGTGTTCAAACTCGGTTTGTTTCTTTTCGAGTCGATCTCGAGTCGAGTCAAAAGACGAGTCGATCTCGAGCAGCTCACGAGTCTCGAGCTTTTCTTGCAGCCCTAGCTAGTACTGCTTAATTAATTACCTTGGGTTGCTTCCATCTCAGCTTTTGTTTCCATGCACCATCAATCTGTTTGAACTTTTCCCAAGCCCTGTCCGCCGGAAAGAAAATGAATAAAGGAATTATTAATTAGTTGATATCAGGAAATGACGAACTTAAAAGAGGCTGACATATAGTTCGATAATGATTGAAATTACCTGTCGATCATCCCCTTCACGATTTCGTACTCAGTAGCTTCTTTAAGTAGTGAGTTCAGTACTTCAACTTTTTCCTCGTCAACTTGAATAATTAACAAGATCCAGTAAAAACTACATACTCACAAGTTTGCATGTATAAATTAAGCAGACTCATCAACAATCCTAATTAAACCCTTCACGCTCGAACAAAAAATTAGTAGCAAATGGGCAACAAAAACAAGTGGGCACTACAACGATACGTTCCAACGTGAAAATAGCATTTTGTTCGTACGAAGGATTTTTTTAAGCTCGAAAGTATAGGTTAACTTCATATCTCAAGACAAGTTGTATTCCCAATATAGTGTGCAGACCAGTCAAACAAGCCTCTGGTCAAGCAAACACAAATTGCCCACTGTTAACTTGTACTACTATACACAGGAAGGAAACTTTTCACTGTGATATAACTGAATCAAGGACAATATTATAAGAAAT